AGCTTTAGTGCCAGTCACACCACTTACTCTGTGTCCCTGCCAGAAAACCCACGTTGGATGGGTGTCAGGAGAGAAATCACATAGCCCTGCTGTTCTCTCTGAATTAAACATTTCATTTCCCTGTGTTTTCCGGAAGAACTGTGAACAGCTCATGCTATGTCTAGTAACAGTCCACTTAGCAATCGCATTAACTGCACGCATTTATCCCCTTCATCTTTTGAATGTGACTCCTCCATCAGCAGAGCTCGGCAACCCTCACCCACATCCACCACCACCGCGATGCCGAGGCTTGGTGGGGGCAACCTCCGTGGCACGAACCTCGCTCTCCACCCACAGTGCCCGATGAGGGACCTCGAGCCCATTCCCAAACTCTCGCATTCCTGCATTTTCTTACCTCCTTCACCTTGCAGGAGGGGCCGAAGGCCGGGGAAGTTGAGAGCGGCAAAGCACCGGCTGGGCAGGAGATGGCAGCAACAGCCCAGCAACCAGGCTTTGCCTCACCGGGACGGGGTTTCCTTTCGTCGGGAATACCGGGGCGTTTTTGCAGAGGAAAGGAGTCGTTTTCACACCTTTGGACTTCGGAATTGTGATCAAGGCACAAGAGACACCGCTCCCGGACTGGAAAATCAAAGGAGGTGACTCAGCGTGAAGGACTCGGTGCGAGGAGGAGCACATAAGCATCGCCCGTGCAGCGAAAGATGTTTGTTCTTGCAGTCTGTGTTGGTCATTACCGGAGACATCTGCGGATTGTAGCTCCTGGGTGCAGGTACATGAGGCCCGGCAGATTTTAAGCATGGTTTTCCTGACACATGGGATGTTGTCCCGTGGGAGTTGGTGGAAAAGGAGCAGCACACATTGAGGAGCGTTGTGGTGCTGGGACAGTTTTGTGCTATGCTTCAGTTTGGGATGTTTGCTCTTTTAGTCTTTGATCATTACAGGAGATTTGTGTGGATTTGAGCTCCTGAGTGAGGTGTGTGAGGCCCTGTGGATTTTAAGCTGGACATCCCCTTTCCCCAGTGCAAATAATTTGGAAAAATAAAAAACACACTTTCAGAGCTCTGCTCTTTCAAGGACATGGGAGATAGGTCCTGAACACGCCACAGTGGTGGGGGTGCATGCTGGGATGTGCTGGCAGATACTGGAAGTGACATGTGGGATGGGAGTGAGGTCTGAACATCATGCTACCTTGCATCCTGGTTTTAATCTTCCTCTTTCCTTATGTCTTCTACACCTTTTGCAACCTGCACATAACCTTTGTTTGCACGTCCTGTTCTTAGGCCACTTCGCTGGGATGGGATTTACAACATCTTCCAGCTCTGCTGCTGCTTTTCCACCTGGATGTTTTGGACAAGTCACTTGTGTAGGTTCAGTGTCCACACTTGTAAAAAGGAGGCAAAGACCCTCTTCTCTGTAAAGATCCTGGAGAGGTGAGGAGAGGTAACTTTTTCTTGCTAATGCATCATTTAGGGGGCTGATTTGAAAGCAGGACTTATGCTGTTGTAAGGTGTTGCTCAAATACTACAAAAAGAGGTAGCCCCTCATGTTGGAGAGAGTTTCAGGGCAAATGGACGAGGCAGAGGCTTCAGAGAGGGGGCTGCAGGCACTGTCAAATACCCTCAGTAGGGCTTTCACTGGTGTGTGGAGCTGGTGGCCACTGCCCTGGCAGCAATGTTTGCAGAGGGATAAGAACAGCGGGAGAGATCCAAAGAAAAGAGGGTGCTGGAGAGGGAGATGATTTGAGCTGAAATAGGGAAACAGAGGAACAGCAAATCCTGGAGATAAGACCAGGCAGGGCAGGTACAGGATCCCTTGAGAAACATGATTGATTTACTTCCCCAGTGTAAGGGCATTAGATTGTTCTCAGGGATCCATCAAATGCCACAATTCTTTGCAGTGATCACTGTACTTAGTGGGGCTGCAGAGGAGGGGATGGGGCATCCTGCATAACCAGAGGCATTGCCAGCTTGGTAGCCCTGAGCATCTCCTCTCCAGGAGGCTTGTCCAGAATGCCCACCCTGAAACACAAGACCCTACAGGAGGTAAGACTGAACCTTCCATCCTCTTGCCAGGGCAGCGTTTCATAAAGCCCTTCAAACAAAGCTGAGGAGTATCTTCGGGGTGCTCCAGCATGGTGGTGTAGGAGCAAAGATCTTCAGTGCTGGGCTTGGGGGGGAAGCAAAGGAAGTCCTGCTGTGGGATTGAGCTGCAGGCACCCCTGGGGGAGACTGAGTGCTGAAGGGGAGAGAGGAATGGATGGGGAAAAGGAAAGGGTGCCTTGTCCCACCTCAGGGGGATTTGAGAGGCAGAGCGGGGTTGTTGCAGCTCCTGGCAGTGCTGCCCCCATCACAGCATCCCAGGACACAGCTGCCCACGTGGCTGTGCATCCACAGGGAGCTGGGCATTGAACACCGACTGAGGCTTTCAATATTGGGTAAATACAAAAATGCTGGGTAACTATTTAGAGCGTCTAAGTAGATCTTTGCAGCTCCAGTGAACCACACCGGCAGAAAACTTTGCAGAGGAGCATTTTGCATTCCAAAGGCTAGATTTCTTTTTTTTTTTTTTTCAGTGAGAGAGTGTTCCTCTGCAGGAGCATGTGGTGGTTCCCAGCAGCAATAAAGGGCTGCGTGCTGCCATCGCAGTGTGTCATCACACCGATTTTCCCGATGGAGAAACCAAATATGCAGGGGCCATGGGGTTGAGTCAGAGCTCACAGAGCCACAGAGAGATGGGGATGAGAATCCCTGATCTGCTGACTCTCTGTCCCATGGTTTAACCACAAGTTCATCCCTTCCCCTCAGGGGATCTCGCACTCCAAAGCTGTGCTGCCTTTTGCGCATGATTTTGGGAGAAAACTATTTTCAGAGACAATAATGTGCTGCTTGGGCTGAAGCATCTTATAATAACTCTCTGTCCAGAAGGCAGATGGGAATGCATGTGGGGGAGGGAGTATGAGACAACAAATTTGGGTTTGGAGAAGCCTGTGTTGGCTGTCTGGTACAGCTGTGACCCTAAGAGGGAGACCATGGTACATCCAGCAGTTACTGCTCCACGCAGCAGTTACCCCACAGAGGCACAGGGCTGGGCTGTGCCACGTGGACAGTGTGGCTGTCCACCCCATGTCCTGCCATGCCTGTTCCTTGACAGGGAGTAAACTTTGCTGGCTGACTGTGTTGGAGGCAGCTCCTGCTTGGCAGTGGTGATCACACCACCTGTGTGTCTTTATCTTCAAGTGAAGCGCGTGTTTGCACGTCATCATCCTTTTGTTTGGCACTCAGGATGGGGAAGAGAGGTGATTTCCTCTAATAAAATCCTGCCAGAGCTCCAAAGACCAAAAGCAACAGCTAAGGGACTGACAGACAGGATCTGTGCCCTGATCAGAGCTCCAGCTGATGTGCCACAACGTGGGATGCACTGCAACTGAATGGATGTGAGATTTTTCCATGTATCCCCTTTTTCCTTCTAGGATTGCCTCCAATTAGTGGTATTTTAGTAGCTTAGGGAGAGAGTGCCTTTCCTACTGGGGTCATGAGCCCTGGTGCATTGTGGTGATGTGAGGGAGGAGGGAGCAGGCTCAAGCTGACTGCTGGTACTGGTTTTAGATATACTGTATTGTTACTAGACATGCACAGCTTAGATCAGAATCCTGCAAAAGGATCATGAACTGGCTCTTCTGTGGGGCAAGTGGATATTAAAATATCAGCTGTGGTCATAGAAGATGCAGCACTGAGACTACACTCCCATGTGGAAAATATCCTACCTATCTCCTGAGTGCTCAGTGTTTGTCAGTCTGCACTCGTGCACAGGGAGCCCTAAACATTTTGGTCTGGACCTGCAGAAGTGATCAGGCACTGCACACCTGGAGAGAGGAGGTTTGTGGGAGCACTAGCTGTGGTTTGGGAGTCCAGGTTGCTGGGATTAAAGCTGTGGAACTGCAGGGCAGTCACAGCATGGGCTCCCTCCACATTATACACTGTCCTTCCCTTCTGCCCTTGCCAGGCATCAGCCCTTACCTGTGAGCTGAAGTGGACAACTTGAAGAGCCTTTTGCTGCACTTTGCCACGGGGGGTCTGTCAGCTCATTTCATCCATCACATAAGCATAAGGCCAATAGTAATTGCTTCTTGTCTCTGCTGTACAGGGCTGCTTAAAAAACAGGGGCAGAGCAATGAAGTGTCATTGCTGTGACATTTTCTGGCCAGAGAAAAAAAAATGCTGCTTCCCAACAGCTTCCAGCTTCCCTCCCATAGGCGAGGAAGGACTCACCTTAATGTACTTGCCATAAAGGCAGATGTAACCAACCTGAATGACTGAATCACTGTGCCCCTGCCCAGGATGACTGTCTGGGGGATGGACTGGTGTTTCTTGGCCAGCAGTGTAGGAAGCAGGATGGTCAGCTCCTCCTTGAAGCCATTCAGATGTAATTGAGATGAATCCCTCGTGGAACCCTCCTGGCTTCTGCTGAACTATGACACAGATGGGTCTGGCTCACTGCTTGCAGCAAAAGCTGCTTAATTAGAGCAGCAGCTCAATTTATTTGTTTTGGATCGTCTTTATTAGCCATCACTTAAGCTTGTAATTAAGGGCAGAATAGGGACTGTAAAAAGGGTTCCATCCTATGCAGCTTGTCTTCCCCCTGAGTGTTGCTCTGGTCTGCTCAGCACCTTCAGGACCCTCTCCTGTACAGACAGCACTGCTGTCACCTGCACTCCAAATGCTTACTTTATTCCTGGAAAAGCTGAAAGGAAATGACAGTATGTTTATCCTGGGACACTTTTAATTGACTGAGGTAGAACATCTGATGCCCCAAATGCTATGTAGGCACAGTAGGAGCAGCAGGTACCCCCTGGAGGGATGTTGCTGCCTATCTCTTAAAGTAAATACCCAGGTGGGTTTGTACTCCCTCACCCAGGAAAAAGAGAGGACCAAATCCTTGTGGAGACCCTGGCAGGCAAAACAAAGGCCTGGAGAGTGAGACCTGAGGCTCACCTGGTAACCAAGGAATCCCAGACCTTCTCAGGAGAGAACAGTCCTCAGAAATGCAAAGCTACATCACTGCTCTGATTGTGGCTGTTATTGTCATGTGTTTATAACCTTGTGTTCAGTGGAGGTATTGCTGTTCAGGTGTTTCTTCTCAAGTGCCCAAGGTGTTTTTATGGTTTTCAGCCTGCCTCTGTACCCCTCCAATGTCCTGGATCTCTTCCCTGCAACCCTAAATCCTGGTTGCACTCTTTGGGCTGAAGTGCTGCTGTGACCAGCACCACACAGCTATTTTTCACTGTAAGGCAGTTCCTGCTCTGAGACTGAGTTCTCTTTTGTATGATCCAATTCTGGCATTCCTACAGTTTATTTTAATTCAAGTTGAACTAGTACAGGCATTGACATGTAGCTTTAATGACCTCTGTGTTTTCAACAGGGACTGAGTATCTCATTCCTGTCAGTGTGACCTGCTCCTGCGTGAGGACACACCATGGCCATCAACCCTGTGGGACAGGCTCTGCTCCCACGAGGATCCCAGGTGAGAGGCAGGGATACATCTCCACCCCAGGATCTTTGCAGGTGCCCTCCTGGTGGGAGGTAGGGCTGGACTTCGCTTTGAGAGCTGACAGCTACAGTCAACTGCTTGTGTGTGGTCCAGGAGGAAATTCCCCAAACTGGCATCCAGCCCCTGTAAAACCACAAGCAGCTCCTGTTTGTGGTGCAAGGGAATGTGCATTGACTGCCAGGGTCTGCTCACAGGACAGGGGAGAAGGCTGGAGGTTCTCTTCATGTGTATGTGAGCTGTTGTGAGCTCCAGAGCAGTGTTCTTCCTTTATTTGTTCGAACATCTAAAGGAACAATAGGTTGGAGGACTGGGAGGGGAGAGGAGGAGTTTGCTCCTCCTTTCTTGTGAAATGTCAGCATCTCACAGAGCTCTTGATCACTCGTGTTTGGTGGATGATTCCACTGCCTGCCCCCTCGGTTCCAATGGTAAATATGGAAGGGCAGCATGGGGAACCCCACAGCAGTATTTTTAATGAAGAGCCATGTCCAGACTACACCAAAAGAGACTATTTGTGCCCTGGTACAGCCTTTGTTTGCAAACAACAGCCTCTCTAGGTAATCACACAACAGAGCACAAGTGCCTTGTTATTTGCATCTGTCTCTGTTCACAATAGGGAAGGAAGGGAACCCATCTGTTTGGGCAAGGGAGACAAAAATATAGCAGAGAGAAGTTGATTAAATTCATAATACAGGCAGCCCAGAGAAAGAATCCCGTGTTTCTGGAGGTGGAGATAAATCTAGTGATTATTCTTTGCCCCAAGTTCAAGCCATCTAACTGGGAGACTGACAAGAAAAATAGGGACAAATAAATCATTCCTTCCTTGTTGGCCTCATTTCTTGCTCAAATTTAAAACCCAGACCTCTTTGGCTGAGCACAGTCCAGTAACTGCACCCTGTCAGTGACCCCCACATCCATCCCACGACCTTCCCTGCACTGACTCATCATGGCATCTGCTGTCGTCACCTCCCCAGTGTCCTGGGGACCAGCTTCATCACCAAAAAAAGAGCTGGTTCAAAGGCTACATTTTTAAATGCCAGTCCTGGGCTCCCTGAAGATGATCCAACCCACTAAGACAAAGCTGGCAGGTTTGTCACAGTCTTGCCTTTGCTTGTTAGAGTCAGCTGGAGAGTTTTACAGATCTGTTCTGAAGGTTGCTGGAGGCTGGTTATTTTGTTTTAAAGTCAGGGCAGCAGCAGACAGACAGCCACTATTAAAAAGAGAAATTAAAAAAAAAAAAAAAAGAAAAAGCCATTTTGGCTTTAAAGCCAGCTGACTGCTTTTGACTGCTGAAGGATTTATGTGTGGATATTCCTGACCTGCAAGGCAAGGGGATGTGTTGTCAGAGCAGAGGATTTGAGCAGCTCCAGCAGACAGAGAAGAACCTCCACCTTCTTTAACAAAGGCCCTGTGCTGACTTGTGAGTGCCTTTGATCAGATTTCAGGTACCCTGGCACGGCCACATCCAGCCATTCCTCGAGCTTTTTGGCCTAGGAAGAGATCCGGAATCAGAACTTTGTATTCCAGCACCAGCCTCTTCATTTCCCTCTTCCTCAAACCCCATGAGAGAGGGGGAAAAAAAGTCAGTGCTGTGCATGCCTTCACAGTTGTTTTTGATGAAGGACTTGGGATGAAGACAGATTTTACCCTAAGAGCATCCCATTGGCAGGATAAGGTGCTGTTATCTCAGGCTGCTCCCTTAGTCTCCTCTGAGTAGTTTTTCTCAGGTTGAGAGGATGTTTCTTAGCAATTAGACAGAAATTGGCTGATTTGGTGCACTTTGGACATATTTTACAAAGGTATCCAACATGCTGCAAAAGGGCTGGCTCCAAGGAGGAAAAAAATGTTTCCCAGCTAGAAGAGTCATAGAAGTAAAGAGCTCACAAGGGGTCAGTTGGTCACCCCTCACCCCAAGCTGTCCATGGAATCACCAGGGTTTATTTTTGGATGATGTTCTCCCAAGACTGAGTCATATTTCCTGCTCAAGAGTTGCTCTGAAAGGCTGGTGTTGCAGGAAGGGTCCACATTTCTGTCTGATTCATGCAATAGGAGGGAGTGGCCCTTTCTCTTGCGTTCGGGTGGACTTGGATTACCAAGTTCATATGGAAATTAGAGCTGAGTAAACAAATATTGATCTGCCCAACCTCAGGTCACAGCTGAAAACAATGTTCTGAGGGAGTATATTGAAGGGGCAGGATCCCATCAGATGGTTATAAAGGCAGGGTGAAATTCAATCCTGCTCCAGGGAGTTTGCAACCTCAGTATAATCAACAGGAGCATCTGAAAAGGCTGGTCTAGTTTGGGTTACAAAAACCGGTGTCTTCGAGTGGTTCCTCCTCTAGTAGCTGTGTCAGAAAATGATTAATAAACGGTCCAGACCTGCTCAAAAGAGGAGGGTGAGTGACAGGGAAATAGCTGTTTTTTGGGGGCATGCAGGGCTAGAAGTGGATCGGGATGGGAGGAGACAACAGCCCATTGGAGGGAAAAGCAGGGCAGTGGGATACACTTCCTCGGGATGATTAATGCCGACCCACACACCACCATCGTTCAAGGGATGAGCGTTCCTTTTAGACAGAGACTTGCACTGCTGAATGTGCAGTGTGGTAATTTTCCAGGTACTTGGCCATTTGACTTGAGGGGTTTTTTTAAACATGCTGGATGAGATGTGATGTCTTGTGAGCGCTGGAGTGGAGGCAGCAGAGTGGATTTTTCCCACCGTGGTGAATAAAGTAGGACATGTTGCTTTCCCAAGCGGAGTCTCTGGCCCTCCTGTGTCTCTGCAGGGTCACAGTTTATTTGTTAACACCTTACAAAGAAAAGCCAGGGCTTTTCTCAATGGTCTGAATATTCCTCTAAAATCCACACTGTGATTTTGGAGAAAAATTCAGGCTATTGAGATCAATGTATTCAGGCCACTGAGGCTGGCTCATTGCAGGACCGATCCCTGCAAGATCTCTGGGATTACTGAGAAAATTGCTATTATTTTCCCAGTCACAGGATGGTTTGGGTTGGAAGGGACCTTAGAGAGCATCCCATTCCAACAAACTGTCTAGTCGGATGGATTTTCCCTGTTTTCTCTCCACCAGGATAGAAGGACAGGAGCAACCATCCATCAAGGCACATTGTCACCAGCCCGGCAGACAGCAAGCGCCAAGTGTGGACAGGACAAGCTCTCACAAGTCCACATTTTTCTGTGGAATTGCCCTGGTTCCTGTTTCACGGGACAGCAGCCTGGCCTCGACTCGACAGAGCAGGACAGGGTAGCTTGAAAGGGGCTGTCGAGGGGAGAACAGCTGAGAGCTACAACGATCCCAGTGTGTGTATAAATAGAGACGGGGCTGTTATCCTGATGAAATGAGACCAGATGTTTCTCCCAAATCCCTGCTCTCTGCTCGTGAAAATTATAGTTTAGTTACAGCAGGGCGAAGCGGGCAGCAAAATGTTTTAGACCTACTAATGTTGGGAAGTCAAAGGGGAAAAATGCCTCACTGGGGCGGGGGATACAGTGCCCTGTGATGCAGGGATGGATTGGGCACGGTCACAGTGGGTGAGAGCTGGAGGAGCCCCTCGCTGCCTTTGTTCTATTTTGCTGCTTCCTATCCCGGCATTAACGGGCTGAGTTTAAAGCCCATGCTGCGACTGCCTTTTGTGAGGTAGAAATTCAGTGTCAGCACATGTATCCTGGAGGCAGTTGGCACGAGATGAAGGAGGGATGGCAGCAGCAGTTAAAACTGGGCCTTGGCTCTTTAATATTTAACTTTCCCCAGTGCTGTTTTGTTTTTTTTTTTTAATCAGTTTGTGCATTATCTGCCATCCCCGTTCAAAGAGGGTTTTAGCACAGAGATTTCAGTGCTTAATCCCAGGGGCAGGGAAAGCGGAAGAGTCTCTCTGAAGGTTCCAGGGCTCAATCTGGCCTCAATTACACCAGCCTAAATCAGCAAAGAGTGGCCACGACGGACTTTGATGTGACCGCGTCGGGCTGGAGGTAACAAAATTAGGAGTAAGTCCCATATCTGTCCAGGAGACGCCTCTGGTCCCTAAGGCTCCATCCATAGGGAGTTCCCAGGAGGATATAAGCATTGCCTGGCTGGCTCAGAATAAACGTCCACCTTGGGCAACAACCTGGCTGTGGCCAGCTGCAGATGCTTAGGAAGGGATATCGGAAGAGGGAGACTATAAAGTGATCCTTCCTCCGGCATATCCTCCTGGCTCCTGGTAATCAGCAGTTGAGGGTCTTCCTAAGCCGGAGGTTGCATGAATTTGTGTAATCCCTTTTGTTGTCGGTTGTTTTTTTTTTTTTATTATTATTATTCATTTATACTTTTGGCCTCCACGACATCCTGTGGCAATAAGTTCCACAATGTAATTATGTGTTGTGTGAAAAAGTACTTCCTTTTGTCTGCTTTAGGCCTGGCTCCTGAACATTTCTCTCCGTGATCCTTCGCTCCTGTGTTGTGAAGGAAAGGGAAAAGAATTCCAGCTCCATACCAGACCTCTCTTGACCTCTTCAGACTTCTCTGTCTTTGTTTGTCCCAAGGTTTTGTTCTTTCAAATTGGACCTCCTTGTTTTTCTTGCCTTTCTTCCTCATATGGTATCTATCCCATCACTTCCACTCTCCTTACCACCCTCCTCCATGTCTCTTCTCATTTTATTATTGCCTTTTTTTGAGATAAGATCACTGAACTGAGACTTGATCACTCCTGAAGACACGAATTCATTCTGCTGGAAGAAGGTCAGCTCAAAAGCTTTTCCTCAAGTCACTCTTGTGTAGTTCAGTTTCTTCTTCAACACGTACAGTCCTGGGCTTAATGGAAATACATGTGCAGCTCTCTTCAAACACTTGGATTTGACCTATTCTGAGCAAACCTCCAGTCCTACTTTAACTAGAGCCTGTGGGTTAATGTGACATCCACGAGTAGATCAACTAATGGGTCTGGTTTACACGAAGGGAATTTCATGTATGTGCTTATATTACTGCTCATTTATTCCTGCACAAATCCCCTGTGCACTACTGGTGGAGAAGACCCACAGCCAGAACAGCTGAGCTGGTGAGCATGAAACTCGGGAGTCTCTAATTTCCAGAACATCTTTATTTATAAAATATGTCTATTTTTGCTCCTGTCATGCCTGCAAAACCAGCCTTCCTATTTTAGTCATCCCTGCCCTTTATTATTGTTTGTGTTGCCCCAAACCTCATAAATGGGGCAGGAGAATGGATTTTGTCTCCTGCTGCCGTGTGAATTTCAGAAACCACACTAGCCAGTCCTTCCAGACCTTGCTGCTAGGATGGCTTGATCATACTTGCAGATACAACCGGTCCTCACTTGATGGGAACCAGTTGCTGGTGTCTTGCACTGCTCCTGAACAAATGTTGTCCCAGGATTGTGCTGCAGATTTTTAAAACTCCACTTTTGGCAGTAGCTTAGCAGCCACGTCCTTCCCTCACAACGCGCCAGCTCCTCTCCTGCTTCTCAAAGCAGCTTCATCCCCCTTTCCCACCGTGTGCCTTGGGCGAGTTTCCCACAGCAGGGAGACAGCCCAGACGTGTGTAAAGGATGGAGAAGTCTCTGGGAGAGTAGGATAAACTTGAGGAGTTTATCAGATCGTGGCCCCTAAATGATAAGCTGGAAGAATATGTACATTGTTATACTATCAGCAGCAGTGGGAATGAGCAGGGGCAGAGAGAATGTAGGAGGGAAAAATTGCTTTTCCTATTCCTTTACGGTATTATTATGGCTTTTTATGCAGATATCTGCTCTGGAAGGAGTATCCCACACACCCTCAGCTCCAAGAACTTTGAAACCGTGAGGCAGAACGTGTTTTAGGGTAGGAAAGAGGAAGGAGAGGTTACTAGGTGTGCTGCTTCTGTGCAGAATCACTCCTGTCACAGTGGTGGAGGGATAAATCCTCACCAGGTTTCATCCTGGTTTAACTCTTCTTGTTTGTGGGAGTAATTTTAAAATCCTTATTTCCCAAAGAATTGAGGCTGACACCATCAAGCTCACAGGATCCCTCTTTCCCCAGATCCTGCCTCTTACCTCCTACAACCTCAGGAAGTGCTGAACTTGCTGGTCTGTTTCAAAGAAAACAAACAGAGGAATAAAGGTCCAAGAGCTAAATAAATCTCTGCAGGAATAATGAAAATTGGCAGCAAGGTAAAGCAGAGAGATCCTACAAGCCTCTGCACTGAGGGTGTCCGCCCTCTGCTAGATACCAGGTGTGAATTTGTAGGAAGCTGGGTTACATCTGTTTTGCCAATCATGAAACAACAAAACATTTGGAAGAAGGAGGTTTATTCATTTTCCAATTCAGCTTGGAAATTGCAGCAGGATGCACGTTCCCAACGCAGAATGGAAAAACTGTGGTGTGAACTCACGTTGTTTCTCTCCCAATTGGGTAGAGAATGACCCAATTGTAGGGTGAGATTCAGGTCGAGCTCTCAGCCAAGCATGAGACAGAAACCCACAGGAAACAAAGTTTCATCAATTAATCATAGGGCTGGCAGGACTTTTTTCCTCCACTGAAATAGTTAATACACCTTCCATCATGGACACAACTATACTGGTGTGAGGGTGCTCCAACCCAGTTGCATCAGGAGGGCATCGTTCTTTCGCTGCCACTTTGCAAGCCCTCGGCTCCCAAGAGGAACTTTTGGGAATTCCTAAGACAAACATTCAGGCTCAGGCAGCTGATTGGGACCTGCCAAGCTGCAGAGCTCAGGGAGTTACAGCCCTTTCTGAGGGAAGCTACTGCTCTTCAGCAGTAACTCACTGTCTGAACCCTCTTATTCTGCTCTAGTGCAAAACAAAGCATGGTGAGAAGGTGCGGGAGCTGGATCTCTTTTAAAGCAGCTGAACGGCAGCGTAACTGCCAGGGATCCACACTCATTCAACTGCTATTGCAATAAAGAAAAAATTAGTGCCTTTGTACCAACGCAGAAGTTGTGTGCAGAGATGAGCCCTTGGACACAGCCTGTGCTAACGGGGAGAATCACTGAATCTACGCACTTGGGTGAACCTACACAGTTCATGTTGATCACGGACAGGCATGGATTCAGTCCAAGAGATCACAGGGATGGAACCCAAAGCAAGCTGAACCCCTTTGCCCATCTTCCCTGAAAATTCCAGTCACAATGCAAGGATTTAAAGGACAGCGTTGGACGCGTGCTTCACTCACAGCTATTTCATCCTAGATTTTTAGAGAACGTGTACCTTAAGCACTGGGAAATTCACCAAAATAAAAAAAAAAACCCAGAAATAGAAAACTAAAAGGTGGTTTACTTAGGGAGGTCGGTAAATAGGCATTCAGGACAAAACAGCCCGCAAATCCCCTAAATGAAATGGATTTTATCAAGCCAGTTGTCCTCCTTTCCCTGTAGCACATCTTCTCGTGTACCTGAAAGAAACAGGCTGTGTAAAGCGCATGAAAGATTTATCAGTCTCGGTCAGACGTGCTCTGCGCCCGGGAAACCCCATCTCGGTAAATCCGTCTCCCTCACGTTCCCGTGGCGCTATCGGGAGAAAGGGCCGCTGCCCCGTATCCCACCCCCGCGGGATTATCCCGATTAGTACTTCTTTGGGATGCTTCTCCCGAGCCACAACTCCCCTTCCACCGCTGCCCTGGCGCGGCTGAGGGGAGGGGCCGCCCGGGGGCCATTTTGAAGCCCCTCAGGGGCGGCCACACCGAGCCCCGCGCGGCGAGGCGGCCCCGGGATGGGGACGGCGGGGGGAAGGGGAAAGGGAAAGGGCTGGCGGCGGCTCTGAGAGGAGGAAGGGTCAGAACCTCCGCCGCCTCCCACCTCTCCCTCAGGGCGGGCGGGGCGGGGCGGGCGCGGGGGCTCCGCCCTCGCTGACGCGGCGGGCGGGGAAGGGGCGGGACGCGGCGATGGAGCCGCACTGAGGCGAAGCGCGGCCGGGGCGCAGCGCGGGCGGCGGTGGCGGCGGCGCCTCCTCGTCCCCCCCCCCCTCCCCTCCCCAGTTCCCAGCATGGAGGCGCCCCCGGGAGCGGCGGGCGAGCCGGCGGGATGGGCGGCGGAGCCTTTCGCGGAGCCGGAGCCCGGCGCGGAGGAGCTGGAGGCGGGCGGCGCGCTGGACCGCGTCCTGCGGGAGTCGGTCTGCCAGCAGCAGGGCTGGGTCCGCGTCTACGGTGAGTGGGGCGCCGGGGCGGGGAGCGGCGGAAAACTTCCCGGCCCCCAACTTCTTTCTTTCCTTTATTTTCTCCCCGCTGCCGGAGCTCCCGAGTCTCTTTACCCTCCCCACCTCCCTTCCCGGAGCCGCCGGTTCACCCCAGCCCGCGCCGTCCCCTGTGGCGGGGTACGGGATGCTGCGGTGTTGGGAGCCGCGTCCAAGCCTTTTGTGTGCCCGCGGTCCCGGGATGCGGGTGCCGGCGGGGCTGAGCGCTGCCGTCTCTAATTAGCATTAATGAGGTTCTAAGGGCCTGGGAGGTGCTGATACGGTGGGTCCCGTCGCCCCAGACTTACTGGTCTGTGTTGAATTGGCACGTTTATTATTCATAAAAGGGATGTTAAAATCTCTAGCAGTGCAGGGCGCGGGGTTGTTTCCCCTTCTTTGTCAAACTCTGCCTGGTATGTAACCTTTTAAAATTAGCTTGATTTATGTGGCCTGGCCTCTGGTTTGTTTGGGCTCCCACAGCTGAAGTGCAGTCGGGCTTAATCTCTCCATCAGCACCTAAATAGTGGAAATTCTGTTTTATCTCGTCCTTGTCTCTCCCTCTTGTTTGTCTTGGTAATCTAACGATAATTACTCCCAGGTTTCAGAGTGAAGAGCACCGCTGGCAGTGTCTTGTTTTCCCTCCTGTAACAAATTTGATGGTCAAGCCTTGAAAAGGCGCCAGCTGTGGAGTGTGCTCGTGTTACCTTTGTCTAATATTGTTATTGTTGCCCCATCCCTGGAAGTGTTCAAGGCCAGGCTGGAAGGGGCTCGGGGCAACCTGGTCCAGTGGAAGGTGTCCCTGTCTATGGCAGGGGGTTGGAATGAGATGAGTTTTAAAGTCCCTTCCAACCCAAACCGTTCTGTGTTTCCATGATTGTGGAGAACCTGTAAAACCACTTTTTTATTGGTACTTTTTAACATCAGACCCTGTCACACTGATGACTGTCCCTGTCGTTTTCCTCCCCTGCCCTGAATCCCAGTGAGATTCCCCAGGTTTTCCCTGCCCTGTAAAACTAGAAGCAAATGCTCTCTGTTACCCGTGTCATTGATCTGTTACTGGTTGCATTATTCCTGAAACACAAAGATGACATGAATAAGTTATCTGCAAGAACTCTGCTGTGTTTCTTGCCTGATGACAGGTAATTATTGCTGAATACCACCAGCCTGAGCCTTTGCACATGTCAAATGAGGAAG